AGCCACGTGGCGGCAGCCAGCGGGCGTCGGTCGGCGGCAGCCGGCACCGGTCCCCGCAGGGGCAGAGGGAAAACGCGCAGCAAGGCCGTCCTCCATCCTGCTGCTCCTGCGTGACCGCGTGCCCCGAGCCAGGTGTGCCGAGGTGTGCAGCCAGCCTCTGCCAAGGCCGCTCAGCTTCCACAACAGTCAGATAATCTGCATTTCACCTTCCGCTGGGCGGCATAGCTCCCCATTGCCACGTTAAATCCAGAGCTGGTGCTGCCCTCCCTCTCTCACTGGCTCTAGGGGCAGGTTTCTGGCCATTAAACCCCAGCACTCGGAACTTCTTTCTGCTTTTCTGGCTCTGGTTACCCAGCTCTTTCTCTGTAAAGGGTTGGCAGAGATGGGGTGTTCCTGGGTGGGGGCACAGCCTGTGCAAGGGCTGAGGTGGAGCCCTCTTGAGTGTTTCCCACCTCTCCTTTCAGAGTGCAGGTCAGAGACCGAGAGATCAAAGTGAACATCTTCGACATGGCAGGGCACCCGTTCTTCTACGAGGTAAGGCAAACCCGGCTCTTGGCAGCGTGCTGAAGGGCTGCCTTCAGCCTGCCTGTTTCAGAAGCATTCGGCACCCCTCAACTTTCTGCAGCTCTGTCAGAAGTTGGTGGCAAACTTCAAAATACGTTTCTTAGGAGCTTTCTCCACTAGGATACGCTCCTTTCCTTCCAGCCCCAGACACCTAACGCAGGCCAGCACTCGAAAACCCCTCTCCATCTCTGTGAGCAGTGACCCCCTGGTGCTAGGGGGATGCTGACCACGCAAAAGGATGCTGTTAGGGACTGCCGGATCCGGTAGCCCAAAAGAGGCGAGGCTGCCTCAGCTCCATACCCCCAGGTCCAACCAGTAGAGAAGGCTGAGTGTGTATTCCCAGTGCGTGCACACGCAGGCACACCTATACAACCCATCACAGAATGGTTGAGGTTGGCAGAGACCTCTGGAGATCATCTAGTCCAACCCCCCTGCTCAAGCAGGGTCACCAAATGTATCTACTGATATATACTTATACATGTGGCCAGACACAGATGAGCGCAGAAATACTCAGTGCTCACACAAACCCGTACAGCACCGACAGCCTCTGATGAGGAGGAAGGTCCGTTAGTGGGAAATATGCACATCAATACAACACAGATCTCTCCAGTAATTAGGCTTAGGCTCAGTAATCCCAGCTGGCCCAGGATCCCCAGAGCCCCCAGTTGCTGGCACCTGGGCGTGCGAGTCCCCAAGGTTCACAGCGCCACCCCAGCTGCTGGTGCAGACCTCTTGCACACGCGCAGACAGACACGCTGTGGATTCCTCCGGGAACTGGGCTCGGATACACAGTCCATCCAGTAGCTGCCCCTGGATCCTCACTCCCCCAGCTGCCTCACAGAGATGCAGGCGCATGCAAATGGGTCTCTCGGTCGATCCCCAGACCTTATGGTCTCTCCCGTTGCTGGCACCCCAGGCACAGAGGCCCCAGTGACCTGTGGTCCAACTCCAGTTACTGGCACTTTGACCTCTGCACACTGCCGCACGCGCATAGAACAGAGTCCCTCACCCAGGAAAACAATTAGAAATGGAGTTGAATGAGACGACAGGACAGACTGTGCTGATCGGGGCATGGCCGGACAAGCATACGACCAGGCCCTGTTTACAGGCGACTGGCCCCTTTTATCCCCTTACTCTGCTGTTTTCTCATGCTTGCTCCTCCCCAGACCACCCTGGTTCCTCTGCTTCCTCTCCTTTGGGTCCTCCCCTAAACATCCCATAATAAGTCTTGTACAATCCCAAAGTGCATTCCCTGCACCCCATAAGGAATCCCATACCCCTAGGCAGTAACCCCCCTCAGTCTGTGAGAGGATCGGGGGAGACCCTCTCCCGCTGACTCGTGGCAATGAGCGTCACCCCTGGCACTCGGGACTGCTGGCTCTCCTGGGACAGCCCTGGGGGCACCAGGTCTCTGGCTGGGTTTTTGGGGTTCCCTGCCTGCCGTTGTGCCTCTGTGCTCCTTTGCGCCTGTGGAGACGAGCTGATTATCACAGGTGCCAGACAACGATGATCGCCCATCTCTTGAGGGCTGGTTTCTGGGGCCAGGCTCTTCTGCCAGGCTGTGCGCTCTCAGCCTGGCTGTCGCTGGTGCCAGCGCCCTGCGTTTGTCCTGGCAGGTGAGGAACGAGTTCTACAAGGATACGCAGGGGGTCATCCTAGTCTACGATGTCGGACAAAAGGATTCTTTTGATGCGCTGGATGCGTGGCTGGCGGAGATGAAGCAGGAGCTGGGCCCCCACGGGAATATGGAGAACATTGTCTTCGTTGTCTGTGCGAACAAGGTAGGCCATGCTGAGGAGCTGGGCTGTGGCGCCACCCTGATCTCAGGCCCTCAGTGCTCTTCCCAATTTAAGCCTAAGCTACTGAGCTGCAGCTGCAGCAAAAGAAGTGTTGCTAGGTAATAGGGTAGACTTTCTAAGAGCCAGACGTGCCTTAGAGGAGGACTGAAGACCACATCTCAGCAGGATTTTGAGAATGTTGTGGCCACACATCCGTCAGGAAAGGATCCAGTAGAGCCAACCCTACCCCTGGACTAGATGGACTTTCAAAGGCCTTTTCAGTTGTGTTTTCTGTGCTTTCATTCTGTGCTGCCTCTGTTCCTTCAAGAGAAACAAACAGCCTCTCCAAACAGACAGGCCCCTTATCTGCTGTTAGGCAGTCAGCCTCGGAGCTGTGTTCCTCCATCCGTCACTGCAGACCCAGGCCTTACTCTGACCTCTGCTTTTTATTCTGGTCTAGATTGACTGCACCAAGCACCGCAGCGTGGACGAAAGCGAGGGGCGGCTCTGGGCAGAGAGCCGGGGCTTTCTTTATTTTGAGACTTCAGCACAAACAGGAGAAGGGATCAACGAGATGTTCCAGGTAACTTGGAGTGAAGACGATGAAGGTAGAGACACTATACTGAGCTGGAGTTTGATGGCAGAATATCCTCTGAACTGCCTGGATCCCACAAAACCTATTGGCCCTCTGTCTCGAAGGGGTCTTCCTAATGAAACACCACCCTGAGAAAGCATAACTTTTTAGCTCAAGGTTAGTGCTGGTCCTCCCAGTCCTGAGCCGGCCCTCCGACGTTGCTCAGAGCTGACATCCCTCTCGTTCTGCTGCGAACACAGTGCAGAGATGCCCACCTCTGCTCTTCAGGTCCGCCACTGAGCTGGAGTGGATGAGAGATGAGCACAGAGCCACTTGGGGTGGCCTGACTTCTTCCTCAGCCTGTCCCATGGTCCTAGCACGGACCAGATCTCCCCTTACCTTAGATATCCCAGCCCCCCATGACCGCAGGCAGTGGGGAATGGACCATGGGCGTTCAGCAGTTGTGCAAATGCTCCCCCATGCGTCCGATGATGAGCCAGCAGTCAGCGAGGGCGGTGGGGTCTCAGGGCACCATCACTGCCTCTGGTTTGGTGATGGTTCTTTCTCACTAACTCCTCCTTGCGTCCGCAGACCTTCTACTCCGCCATCATCGACCTGTGTGACAACGGCGGGAAGCGTCCCCCCTCCAGCATGGGGGTCGGCTTCACCAAAGAGCAGGCGGATGCCATTCGCAGGATCCGTAACAGCAAGGACAGCTGGGACATGCTGGGGGTCAAACCTGGAGCCACAAGGTGAGGGAGTCTTCAGTGTGCACCAGACTATCCATAGACTGTCTTATCCTGCAGCTGCAGGCTGGTTGCAGCTGGGATCTTTTAGTGATCTACTTGCTGATAAACTCACCTTGGTTTATATATCAGCCAGGCACAAACTGTTTGTATTTAGGCACAAAACTGAGGCAATGCAAAAGAAACCCTTTGTCCGGAGCACTGCGTTTCCCCTTTTAACAGAGAAGCCGGGCTTAAGGCAAGGGAGGAGTGCTGCACCTGAGATCTTCAGCCCTGTCAGCTGCCTCAGCCTCCAGGCTGAGCCAACTCCGGTTACTCACTGACAGATGTGTTAGGAGCAGCTCTATCCTCCTTGCTCTCCAGGTCTGGAGAAGCTTTTAGGCTACTGTAAGGCTGCTGCCCACCTGACCAAAAAGGGATTGATACAGTTCTTCCACCTGGAAACGGTACTCTCACAAGAGGAGCTCTCCCTTGTCTTCCTCAGAGGACCGCTAGCCAGGTGGAGTTGGTCATTGCCTGGGTAAGAGCAATCTGGGATCTCCCAGTTCTGCTGTATGACTTGGGCAGCCCAAACAAACCCCCAGAGCTGTGCTTCTCTTTCCTCTCTCGGAACATGACAAATACTTACCTTGGAGGGCCTGGAGAGCAGATCTTTGGGTAACTTATATCATTTGGGATTCATGCATCCTTCCTTCAGCTGCCAGAAATGGAGGTGTTCCTCCCTCCAGCCTCCTCTCATCCATGGGGAGAGATTGGCAGCTCCGCAGAGCAGTTTGCACGGAGATCGCCAGCACGTGCAGGTTCACCTCCCTCTGGAGATGCCACCCTCTGTCCGCGGCCCGTAGCTAGAGCCGAGGCGTCTGCCTTGGACCAGACACCCAAGGCTTAGAGGGCTGAAATGATGTGTGATGCCTTTGCCCGGAGTGCGTAGGCAGTTTGATGCGAAGCTGAGTCAGAGTGCGTGTGCCCCCACGCTGTCTCCCAGCTTTCTCCTCGTGGTGCCAGAGACGCTGCACACCAAGGCACGTGTCGCAGGCACGTGTCTGGCATTCGTGCCTGCGCAGCCGAGGTGGGGAAGGTGAATCTGCCCCACGAGAGGGGTTCTCCCCCTCCTCTGCTCGCGCCATGCTGAGAAGTGCCCTGTGCGCTTTGCTTCAGCTCTTTCTCCGTAAGGCTGGAAACCCTCCGTGCCAGCGAGGGAAGGGTTCAAAAGCATCTGCACAGGGGGGGTTTAGCACTGGGGAATTCCTGGCCCTGCTCTGCTCTTACAGCCGGGACAAGGCTGAGCCGGGCTGCCTGCTACTTGGGTCCCCTCGCTCTTGTCTTGTCTCCTAGGGAGGAAGTGAACAAAGCCTACCGGAAGCTGGCAGTGCTGCTCCACCCTGATAAGTGTGTGGCTCCCGGCAGTGAGGATGCCTTCAAAGCGGTGGTGAACGCCCGGACCGCGCTTCTCAAAAACATCAAGTAGGGAACGGAGCTACCCAAAGCTGGAAACCTTCCCCTCCTCCCCACTAGCTCCCAGGCAGTTGGACGTCCATGAGTCGCCTCTCTCCTCCTCAGACCTCCCGCTGGCATGGACACAGATGTTTCCAGCACCAGCCCTGGGAGCAGGACTGCATCCGACCCTAGCATGGTTGGGGCGTGCCACAAAAAGGGCAGAGCGCTGAGGAGGCGAGAGGGACCTCCGGTTGTGGTTAGCGTAAGCAGCATGGCAGCGCTGAAAGCAGCGGAGTTGCAGCCTTCTCAGCCGTGTTACACCTCCCGGGATCTGCCAGCCCTGGAGGGATTCGGTCACGTAGCCCTAAACTATCGCTTCTCGCTGCTGATCGCCAGAGCAAGAGCTGCCTGCAACAGCCTGGCGCAAGCGCTGCCCTTGCTCTGTGGCTGTAGCTCACCTGACTGCGGCAGCTCTGGGGCTGGCTCTCCATCTGTGTTAAGGCCTGGCAAGGCAGCCAGCTCTCGCGGGGTTTGCTCTTCACACCACGCGCGCCCAGGGAGGCTCAGGGCTGTATCACGGCCTCGGGGCTTCTCCGTTAGCCACCTCAGATCAGGGGCTTTGTCGTCAGCCAGACCTGCCCGTTGTTTTTCCTTCTAGCGGATGCAGTAAGGGCAGAGCCAGTTCGGTTGCAAAGCTGTGTGGGATGGAAATGAATGAAGGGATAGGGGCCAAACCTCAGCCCTATGCCGAAGGCTAACTCGCAGGGTGGGACAAGGGGGCTCTGCCCAGGTGCTGAGCCCAGCGTCTGACCCAAAAGCTGTTGCCGTTGGCGCTGTGTGGTGGTGAATACCCCGGAGGGGCTGTGTGTTGTTCGGTCCTTCCAGGTTATCCTAGAGCCACCATTGCAAGGCTGCCAGGGCTGAAAGCTGCACAGGCACCGCACGACGCTGGTATGGTCCAGCTCCCTGAGTGAGGCTGGCTCCTTCCTCTCATTGACACCCAACGATACCGTTTTCGGCAGTGTGAGGAAAAGGGGGTTGCTTGAGGAAGCCTCCACAGGGGGGAGCAGGCTCGAAGGCATGTCCCATTCCTCCCTGGCCTGTCCTCTTCCTCCTTGGGCTATCTTGGTGCTGAGAACAGTGCCTTTTGCCAGGCTTTGGCAAGATTCGGGCTCTCCCCCAGGGCACTCACCTCCTAATTACAGCGTGGAGGCTCCTGCCACTGCTTCCTTCCATCTCCCTGAGCTAAACTCAGCACAGAGGGCCCCAAAGGGTGCGGTCCCGCAAGCCGAGCGCTCCCTCTCTCCGGACCCTCTGCTAGCTGTTTGCACTGTGCTGACGAGCTCCGGGTAGGTGCCGCCAGCCCCGGGGGGAGCTGTGCTGTAGGTGGCCCTGGCTGTTTGCAGGCAGGATGAAGGTGCTGCCCAAGAGGAGGTAGTTCAGGTCCCAGCGTGGCTGCACACCCCTTCCGTCAGCTCTGCTCTTCCCCCTCTCAGCAGCCTCGTCTCCTGAGCTTCGCCCACACCGCAGATCTGCATGCGGTTGTACATAGCAGCCAGCTTTGCAGCCCTGCTCGAAGGGAGCTAAATCCAGCACTGAGTTATATCCCTGAGGGGAACGCTTTAGGAGTGGCCGGGTAAGACGGCGACCCGAAAAATGCAGCACCCCGACCCGTGCGAGGCTGTGCGTCGATCTGCCTGCTCGCTTGGCCTTTTGTCTCGGGTTTAGGCAAGCAGCGAAGGGGGCATGTTTTCTCCCAACCCTGTTTTCTCTCAGCGGTGACGTATCACCCTGCTTTGCTGGTAGGATAACGGGTCTGTTTCTGCTCATTAATCAGCAGGTGGGTCTGGGTCGCTCCATGCTAATCACACAGTTACTGTTTTCTCTGGATATTCCTGTTGATAGAGACAGATCGTGGCTGGTCACCCCAAGAAGCGGTGTGTGTGGAGGCTTGAGATCTGGCCATTGCGACGCTGAGAGAGGTCAGAGCTGCCAGGCTTCTGGGAGAGCGCAAATAGGAGATCCCTTAAGGTCCCACAATTTCAGCAGGCCCCCGTTTTATTTCTTTGCTGCTGTGTGAGCTTGGCAGGGAAGGACAGGACACTTAAGTTATGAAATGAAAGCCACTGAGTGTGTGTGTGTGTGTGTGTGTTAGAGAGAGAGAGAGAGGACACTAAGTTGTTCAAAGCCACTAAGAGTGCGTGTGTGTGTCCGTCCTACCCCTGCCCCAAACGTATCTCATTCAGAAGTGTTTTCTCCTGCGGTCAGTGCAATTGCCTTTCACTTCAAGGCAGCTTTTCTGTGTTTCCTTTTCAAAATGTATTAGAAATCAATAATAGATCCTCCCCTTTTGGCAGCAAGCACTAGGGGAACTGTGAAGCCAGCATCATTTCGATCTCTCCCTGGTTTCTGGTGCCAAGTTGCTGGGAGGCAGAAATAAGCTGCCCTGCTGGGAAACACTTTTTGCTTCTCCAGCGTAGAAATGACCAAGGGGGGAGATGTTGCTACGAAAGGTTAGTGTTTAAAATAGCTTTATTTATCCTCTCCCAGATGTATTGAAAGCTGGGCTGGGGGAGATCAGCAGGACGGGCATTGGAGCTGCAGCAAGTTACACTAACAGAGGATCTTGTTGTAGACGTTTCATAGCACTCCAGAGTTCACTGGAAACCTCCCCACTTGTCTAGCGAAGGAAACCACTTGATTCTGGCTTGAAACCCATTTTTCTGCACTTTTTCCATTGAGGAGGGTAAACAATCCTGCTGCTGAATGGTGCACTTTGCGTTGAGGGAGAGATCTGGGTGCCTGGAGTAGCTGAAATGCCTCCTCGGTTCCTGTCGGTCAGGGGCTCTCCAGGTCTGCTGTGTCGTGCCCAGACTCTCCTTGCAGAAATGCTGTTTGCTCCTCAGGTGACTCTGTCTGCCAGGCTGGGGTTTTTCCTGTCTGTTTACAGAGCTGACCAGATGTTTGGAGATGATTGCACACGCATGTCACGTCTAGCGATGCCAGTGACCTTCTAAGTTGTGTTATTTTTATAAATTAAACCCCCTTTGGAACAAAGGAAGCCCTGTGAGCTGTCCTCCCGCCGTGACTGCCTGCTGTTAATGTTTAATTGCCCTTTGACTCATTTCTCTCCTCCCCAGCCGGGTCTGGCTGAGGCTGGTGGTGAAGAACTGCCCTCGAGGGTGATGGTGGTTGTGAATCAGCTCTGCAGGAGTGGGAGCTGGGCTGAGGGAGCAGGGGGAGGAACCAGCCTGGGAGGCGATGTGGGATGCACCTTGCTGCGGCGGGGCCTGCAGCCCACCCCGGCTCCGTTCAGGGAACCCATAAACGCGCAGAGGAAGAGGGGTAGCTGCATCCTTGCTCTGCGCACGGGCACCTCCACACCGGGGCTCGCTCGTGCTGTGTGCTTCCTCCTGTCCCCCTCCATCAGGACCCCGAAATGTGGCTCCCTAACCTCTCTCTGACTGGACCTGCTGCCACCCGAGGCTGGCATGATCCAGCCCCCGCTTTCTTCCTGCCTCGTGCGAAGAGCGAGTCCTGCCACTGAAGTGTCCATCCTGCAGTGAGGGCTCCAGGATCCCGATCTCAACCAGAGCGGGACTTTGCTCTGCCTCCCACAACACAGGAGCTACCTCGAAGATCTCGGCATCCATGTGACAGATGACCAGGGGCGCTGCCTGCCTGCGCTCTGCCCGTCTCCCAGCGCTCAGTGGAGCTGGCAGGTGGGGAGGACAGGAGGATTTCCGATCTGGCGAGCTGCCCGGGTGATGCGTGCCCGTCCACACTCCTCTCCAACAGCCGCGCCACGGGGCCGGTGACGGCCCACAGCTGCTGCCAGGTCTGCTCCTTGCTGCCGCTCGAGGCTCATACCCAGTAACACGCTTAGGGAGCGCCTGGGGAGCTAACCCACCTCCGAGATGAGGCTGCACCTACCCTAGGTCACCAACCAGTGCCAGGTCCCCGTTTTGGCCTTCAGACCAGTTGGTCCAGAGTGGTTCACAGCTCTGCTATCACCTTTTCCCAAGCAGGGCCTGTCCAAACTGCCCCAGGGATGGCCCTGCCCCAGGCTAGCCCCTGCCCAGGGAGGGTTGGGGCCGGGCACGCTGGCCCAGCATGGGTGGCCAAGGTGTCACATCCTTGGCCCTGGCAGTGGTTAACTTAGCAGCGTGGATGTAGCCAGGCAGGATAGACACGCGTCAATCAAGGTGGTTGGCCCGGGGCCCTGGCCGGCTCCGTGGCGCGGACCCGCGCCGCCCCGGCTCGCTTGCGTTCCTCTTCAGCCGCAGCAGGGCCAGCCCCCAGCCCTCCCGAGAGCTGCAGGCTTTGCT